CCATTTTGGTGTCAAAAATTAATAACAATCATCTGCATCATGTGTTTGTAGTTAATTTGTATTTGTAACTTGCAAGAGATTTTCAATGGCAAGCCATGTTGTACGCGCTTAGTTTGCTCCTTTACGTCAAAATTTATATAACAAAAATTGGATTGCAAAGTGTTCTATTTTTTGACAAATATGGATTTTGTGGTTTTCTGTTTTTAGGGTTTTCAAATATGAATCAGCCAATGTAACCCAACGCGGATTGAGTTGTGCCATGTGTCAATGTCTCAACAATTTCATTAATTTGTTTGCTAAATTTAATTTGTTTTGTTTTATATCTAAAACAATTTCATTTGGTTGTAACTTCAATGGTAGAGAGTGTTTACCTGAGTTCAATTGTCAGTCTCTTTTCAGAACAGTAGGTCTCCTTTTGGACAAAACAAGAAAAAACCGAATATGTTTTTACTTGGTACAACTTAATTTGGTACCAGATGTAAAACTCATTGAATGTCAATGGACTATTGACCGAGTCACTTGATTATTGAGAACTTTGATATTTAAGTTATTTGATACTCATGTGATCTTAAGATCCTAAAAGATAGTAAGAATCGTGGAGTCTTAATATCATGCAACTAATTATGTGAATACATGTCATAGTGGAACACCGATTTATTGGATTATGATTGGATGGAGAAAAACCCTATAATCAATATAAAAAGCTTGTCCCCATTCTCACAATGATTGTTCTCATACACAATCAAAATATAAGGAACTTAGTTTAATTAGTTTCTCAATTCTAACATTTATTGTGTTTTTCAGAGTATATCTTACACTAGCTAGTACCCAACTTAGTTTAATTAGTTTTCTAAAAAGATAAGGAACTTCCATTAGTTATTTGTAGACTAATAAAAGCATAAGGACTATATTTGCAGTTAGAAAATAGAAAATTGCTCGTCTAAGTTTCTAACTCACAAATTATTCAACAAAAAGGGGACTTGAATACAACAATTGATTTTGTTTTAACAAACATAAACTTGACTAGTCTTTTTGTTTTTTCAGAAAGGAAAAATTATTATTTGATCGTGAGTTTAAGATAGGTTTTGTCATTGTGACAAATCTACCAGTCAATTCACAAGAACCGCTCCATTGGGGTTGAAAATTATCGGAAACGAATATTTGACTGAAATATCTGCATGGTAACCGTAGCTAGCTAGTATGATTACACTTCATATTCCGACTGAAGGGTTGAAGCTATGTAGCTGCAAGCCTGCAATGGTGAAGAAGAATAATTGAAAAAGAATAGCTAATGGTGTCCAACGGTAGTCTTGAGAGGGTAGAATGTGTTTAAAAGGCAACGAATCTAAATCTCCGGAGCGTCCTCAAGCCAACAATTAGGGAAATTAGAAATTAAAGCCAACTTGGCCATTTTATATACCGCTACATTGGCGGTTCTACGAACGTGACAGACTTTTGAAGAAACAAAATTACGGAGGTTATTTTTAATATCTTCAACAAGAAAATTAGAACCTGATGAACTTGGAGGCAGATTCTCTGCCCTACCACTTCCCGTACCCTCCTGTTTTGTGTGGTCACGGTTAAGTCACGTCAACATTTTATATTTTTTTTTTTTATAAAGATAATAAGACAAAAATGAATAGTAATATAAAATGTTGATGTGGCTTAACCGTGACCACACAAACATGAGGGCACGGGAAGTGGGAGGGCAGAGAATTTGCCTCCAATGAACCTCCTTGCAGATTACCAAGAGCTTGGACAACGTGCAACGCATCGCCCTCTATTATGACTTGCTGCCATTTTCGTTCCAAGGACAAGCAGACTCCATTACGTGCTGCCAGGGCCTCAATCATCTTTAAGGAGGTGACGTGGGATATTTTGTGAGCAAAACTTCCAACATAGCTACCGGCTGCATTGTGAAATATATCCCCGACACCCCAGTATTTGTAGCGGCATTGAAAGCCCCATCGACATTGATCTTGATCCATTGCGGAGGGGGATGAAACTAGCGTGAAGGGGACTAGAGTGGCTGCGGTTAGGAAGGTGGCTGCTCTTTTAAAAAGTTCGAGAGATGAAGGCCTGCCAAATGGCTCACGAGGGCTGGGTTGTCCACTTTGCCCTCCTATAAGAGGGAATTCCCAGCCCGCAAAATATCATGAATAAGCATAAGAAAATGGGCAAACTGACTTAATGAGAGAGCAGCACCTTGGTGGCTAACTCAGTCGCGGACAGTAGGTAGGGCAGCAACTCGGGTGACATGGTTGATGCTAGAAGAGAAAAACACTACACGTGCAAATGGACACTCGCTAAGCACATGTAGCGCCGGCCCCGGAAAGGAGCTATATAGAACATAAAAATTGTCAATCGCAATACCCTTTTTCCCCAAACTAGAACGATTTGAAGGATGTCCAAGCAAGCCCGCCAAGTACAAAATTTGATTTTACTTGGAAACCTGGCCTTCCCGATTAGATTCCAAAAAGAACGGTCCTCAATATGTGACCTCGAGGTGGAAAGCCTCTCGTATAATGATCAAGCTACTTTTTATGCACTTTTAACTGAGAAAATACCTTTGGCATAATAGTGCCATATCAAGCGATCCGGTGGAAGTCTACCGCTTAGTGGAATGAGGAGGATCAAGTGAACCTCAATGGACTGAAACAGAGCAGTGACCAAGTCCCGGTTCTAGGAGACTGTGCATGGAGTTATCACTGAGGAGATAAACTCGCCATTAAAGCTGACTGGAGGGGGTGAAAATGGTCAAAAAAGATGTGGGCGGTCCACCCACCTGTCATGCCAAATCCGAATTGAATTACCATTACCAACCTACCAACGTGAGCCTCTTTCCAGTATTAGACGAACTTCCAATATTAGTCATCTCTAGCAAGCTAAAAGGCAAGAGCCTAAAGAAGCATCCCAAAAGGAGTTGTGGGGGAAGTATTTGGCTTTAAGTAACCTAGAAGCAAGAAAGTTAGGGTTAAGTATGAGTCGCCATCCCTTAGTGCAAGATCGAAATCATACAGCAAGCAAAATCTAAAACCCCCTTCATAATTCGGACGACACATGGATTCCCAAGATAGCCAAAGAAATCTGCCGAGAGTGTTCTATCACCCCACCAGAATCGACAAATGTTACGTTGTAGATCATCACAAAATGTTTTGGGTAGAAAGAAGTAATCCATCAAGTAGATAGGGAGAGATTGGCCAACAACCTTTATGAGAATTTCCTTGCCCACTGCACCGAGGAGGTTATCCTTACAGCCTTCTAATTTTTTTATATGAGCAAAACATCCCGGTTGCAATCCAAAAAAACTGGGAGACCCAAGTAGCCGTCTTGAACATCCACCCAAGATACTCCCAAGAAGGGCTGCAATCTAATCCTATATTTCACACCTAACATTAGAGCTAAATGAAACATCGCTCTTTTGAAAGTTTATACACTGACCCAAAACACGTTCATAACATTGGAGGATTCCTTGAGATGATGCCATTCTATGAAGAAAGCTCTAAGGAATAGGAAACTGTCATCTGCAAATAATAGATGAGTTATTCAAGGGGTGTCTCGACAGATAGAAATCCCGTGAAATATTTTAGCAGGAAAGTGTCGGAACCGTATAATTTTTCAACAGGTACATACCGAAGCTCTGCATATTTTTAGTAGGCACCAACCAAAGAGTACGTAACAAATGCAATGGTGAAAATTTTGGCAGGTATCTACCGAAATGTCTTCCACTTTTCGGTAGAGAGCTACTTAAATATATTTAAATTTTTAGTAGGAACTTACTGAAAATCTGAATCGTGATTTGGGATTATACAAGCATGATGATTCGTTCAACTTAAAAGGCAATATGAAAAAAGTATGAAGTCTTATCTCATGCAGAGGCCTCCAAACAGTCGATTTCATATTTATTTTCTAATTTTTTTTAACGTGTTTGTGCTTTTATTGGTTATGATGTTGTTCTGTAATATAACAGTTGAAGAGGTTTTAAAGTATGAAAGTTCTATAAACACACAAATTAACAGGATGTGTGAAAAATAAAAATATGTATGAACAACACTATTCTTAAGGTAACGCTCGAAGAAAAAGAATTTTATCAAGTTAAACCCAAATAAAGTACATCTTGTTGGCTCTATAGTAGGCCTCCTAACTTCAAACCCATTATACAATACAAAAACCACTATAGTCCTATGTTCTCCACCAAATTGTTAATTTCTTATGTGGTAATGTTAGCGATGCTAAATTTTTCAAACTAAATTTGTAAAATAAATGATGTAGTTGTAGATGATTTGATTATTAATTAAGTATCAATTGAAGTGTTGTTTCTTATTGGTGACACGCCATTTGATTTAAAAATTTAATCTCTTTAACATTATCTATTTTTTCAACTCTTCCTGCTTGTCGAGACGGGATAGATGACCAAAAATATTTCAAAAAAGTAATGATAGGAAATTAACTTTTTATATTGTGGGAGGATAAAATCCGGCTTCGACTCATGGGCCAATACCAATCATCCGAGGAGAAAGAGGTGCGCAAGACAAAAGCCCACAAGAAGTATACGCAAGGGAACGTGCTAAGATAATTCCCCACTACGGGGAGGAGAAGTGGGAGAGAGGGACGAGTCGTGGTAGTTGTTCCCAGGGCATGCAGTTACATGACAGATGACCATTAAGGAAGTGGGAATGAGGACTGGTGGTGGGACTTGATCTTCAAGCATGCGGTTCTATAAATAGGGAAATGACCCAAATAACTGGGTACATGAGAAATACCCAAGGGAATCCAGAAAATAGAAACAAATCAACTAACTTGAGCGTCGAAGTATCTTTTGCAGGTACCCCGCTTGGGCAAGCTACAGAGGAAGATTATTTTGGGACATCTCGAAGAAGGATTCGGTGAACATGAGGATTGCGGTCAACAAATATGTGGAGGTATTTCTTCTTGTAGGAAATCTCACTCCAACAGTTGGCGCCGTCTGTGGGAAATCGAAATAAAATCAAACTACAAACATGACTGGATCCTCACAAGAAGTTCCGAATCCCTCTGAAGACGCAGGGACTCGATCGGTACATGCTAGGTCTCAATCCCAAAATAGTGAACCCAGTCTTGCCATGGAACAATTTAGAGGTTAACAAGGGAATTGTGTGAAACAAAAAAGATAGCAGATGAGGCGTTGAAGAAGGCTGAAGCGAGAAATGCTATAGAAGATGTAACAGGCACCAAGAGACAACGTGCAGAAGAGGAAGATAAGGAAGGTAGCTCTAGTAGTGCGCCATCTAGTAACCGTGTTGAAGTGACCAAAAATCAGGGTGAAGGGGGCTACAGGGGAAAAGGATTGAAAAGGTAAAAGATGTCGATTTGCGAGAGCAAATTGAGAAGATTGTGAAGGGATACAAGCCACAAACCCCAGCGAAGCTTGCCTTAGAAGCGACCGGAGGAATTCGCAAGTCGCTCCTACCAAGTTCACCCAACCAAAGTTTAGGCTATTCGAAGACACAATTGATCTCGTCGAACACATTTGCCACTTTTAGCAATAGATGGCGCTTGAAGGAGACGACGAGGCCCTCATGTGCAAGTTATTCCCCTCAAGTCTTTCGGGATCATCTTTAACTTGGTTCAGACAACTGAAATCGAGATCTATCGAAAGTTTCACAGAGCTTTGCAAGGCATTCATATCCCAATATGTCTGCAATCGGAGGCCAAGAAAAGATGTTACGATCTTGTTCAGCACCAAACAAAATGTTGGCAAGAACCTCAAAAGATACATGACTAGGTTCACTAAAGAGATGTCCACCTTAGAAGAATGTGATTCCCATACTGCGTATTTGGCATTCCGAGAAGGGGTGTTACTTGGAACGAAGATGCGTAGGTAACTAATCGAAACACCACTGCTGGACATGAGGGAGGTGATGGCCTAAGCTGATGGAATCATTCGATTAGAGGAAGAGGAACTTATCCAATCAAAGCGGGCCATCGCAACTATTGCTGCATCTCCAATGGGCACTGCTGCGCTTACCTTGAAACCCATGGCTCAACTGAGGTAGGAAAGAAGATTCACACGTGATCCGAATGATGGGTTTAATGAGAGATCTAGACTTGATCGCCCAAACACCACGCTGACAGTGAGCCTAGGCAAGATTTTCCACGAGAACAAAGGAAAAAGAATCTTTCGTGCACCGGCCCCAATTCGAACACTGCTAAAGAAGCGAGACAGGAACAAGATGTGCATTCATCATAACGACTTTGGTCATGCCACTAATGATTGTCGAAGCCTAAGGAACCAAGTGGAAGCTATGCTAAAGAATGGGATGTTGTCACAATACCGCGTAGAATCGAGAGACGAATGCAAGAACAACGTAGGACTTCAAGCAGTAACAGGAAACATTGGAGTGGATGAGAGGTTGTTGGATATCAATGTCATACATGGTAGACCCCAACCCCCTGAGGGACGTGAAGCACGTTATCGGTCGCAAAGATGGGAGGCCGAGAAGTCTAGACGCGTACACAATATAACGTCCACCCCTGAAGCCTCTAAAGCATTAGAAAATCTCGGAGTCATCTCCTTTAGCCAAAAAGACCTCGAAGGAATTCAATTCCCTTATAATGATGCATTGGTCGTGACGCTACGTGTTGCCAATTCAAGAGTGAAAAGGATAATGATAGATAGAGGAAGCAACACAGATGTACTATTTTGGAGCACATTTAGAAGAATGAAATTAAACGAGAAAGAGATAAGGTCAAATCCAACTCCTATCTATGCGTTTGAAGGAACTAAGGCCCAACCCATTAAAGACGTAACCCTTCCTGTCACGGCAGCAGGTAAGACTCTTTTCGTCACTTTTGTCATCATCGATGCACCAAGTGCATATAATGCCATTATGTGAAGGGATTGGATCCATCAAATGACCATCGACAGATGGTCAAACGACCATCGACATCAAAAGGGATCAGCTGGAGGTCAGAAAATGCTACAGCATGGCAACATACATCAAGATAACCAGGGAAGTGCAACAGAGCACGAACTTTCATGAGAATAAACCATTATAGCAATTAGCAGATGACCCATCACAACAGGATCAGGAAAACGACGATAAAAAACCTCCAACTATAGAACCACTAAGGAAAGAGGTTTTGGATCCAACCGATCATGAGAACGAATATAGGTGGGCTCCTTCTTATCTGATGCGGAAGTCGAAGCGTTGCTAAAATTCCTAAGGAGCAGCGCTGATGTTTTTGCATGGTTTCATAGGGACATGCCAGGAATTGACTCGGAAGTGGCATGCCATCAGTTAAATGTTGATCCGAGTTGTCCTCCACACCGACAAAATCAAAGGAGATTTACGCCAGAATGAAATCAGATTATCAATGCAGAAGTCGATAGGCTCATCGAAGTTGGATTCATTTGTGATGTCTGGTGCCCAACTTGGGTTTCGAATGTCTTGGTGGCGGGCAAGAAAGAAAAAGGAAAATGGCGCGTGTGTGTGGATTATACCAACTTGAACAGAGTATGCCGGAAATATTGTTTTCCAATTCCAAAGATTGACCAGACGGTGGATGCTACGGCTGGGTACGCACTATTGTCTTTTTTAGATGCATATTCCGGTTATAACCAAATTCCTATGGCTATTAAAGATTAAGAGAAAACTGTTTTTATCACTGAGCATGGATTGTATTGTTACACCGTTATGCCTTTCGGACTCAAGAATGCCGGCTCGACTTATCAAAGGTTGGTGAACAAGAAAATACAATAGAAGTTTACATTGACGATATGGTCGTCAAAAGTCGAGAAAAGTGCCAACACATTGATCATCTACGCGACACTTTTAACGAATTGAGAAGATATCACATGCAGCTAAACCCGGCAAAATGCACATTCGGTGTATCATTTGGGCAGTTCTTAGGGCACAAAGTTGAAGCCTTGTGTAACATGTTAGATCCGGTAACACCCAGAGACATTTAAGTGTTAACCGGGCGAATCACTACCCTTAGTCGTTTCATCTCACTATCATCCGATCAATGCAAACCTTTTTTTCAAGCCATACGAAACCAGAAAGGAGATGTGTGGGGGCAGGAGCAAAGGGAAGTTTTCGAACAACTGAAGAAATATCTCACAAGCCCATTGTTGTTAACCATTCCCAAGCAAGGGGAGTTGTTATACATATACCTAGCCGTAAGCGAAGGGGCAGTAAACGCTGCGTTATTCAGAGAAGAAGGCTCGGTCCAACAACCCATATTTTACGTAAGCAAAAGTTTAATCGATGCAGAGAAGAGGTATTCGCCCACTGAGAAGATGGTGTTGGCCTTGGTAACTGCAAAGAAGAAGATCCATCAGTACTTCAAGGCACACACCATTGTGGTGTTAACTAATCAACCAATGAGGGCTATCTTATCTAAACCGGACTTATCAGGAAGAATTACGAAGTGGGCCATCAAACTTAGTTCCTTTGACATAAAGTATCAGCCTCGAAGCGCAGCCAAATGACAAGTAATTACTGACTTTCTTGTAGAGTGTTATCCTCATGAAAGTTTGCAGGGTGAATGTGAAGAAATTGCAAAAGTCGATCCTAGTGAGATCAAATGGAAGCTGTATGTGGATGGGTCATCCAATCAAGCAAGAGTTGGGGCAGGGATAATTTTAATTTCTCCCGAAGGTATAAATTAGAGTGTTCGACTTCGTTGGATTTTCCTGCATCAAATAACATGGCGGAATATGAAGCCCTGGTACTAGGCCTTGAACTTGCAAAAAAATTGAAGATAAGCCGTCTTATCGTGCATAGTGATTCATAACTCATCGTCAGCCAAGCAACTGAAGAGTATACCACTAAAAATACGAGGATGAAGGCATATCAGCAACTGGTTAAAAGGTTGGCGAATGGATTCAAGTATTTCGAGCTGAAGCAAATACCTAGAGAGATGAACGAAAGAGCGGATCAGCTAGTGTGCGCGGCGTCAGCCCACAAGAGAACCTATGGGTAGCCGAAGTAGAATATCTGCACTCCCCGAGTATCAGAGCAGTGCAATCAGACGTGATGCAAATCGACGGGCAAAGGTCGAGACTTGACAACCCGTTGCTAGAGCAAGCTCAAGCTAAGGATAATGACTGTTGGATGACGCCAATCGTAAACTACCTAACAAAAGGGATCTAGCCAGAAGATCTTGTGGAAGCTAGAAAACTACGAATGAAAGCAATAAGATATGCAATTTTTAGTGACACGCTCTATAGGAGGTCATTCTCAGGACCTTACCTCAGGTGCTTAAATCCAAGGCAGTCTGAATGGGTTCTAAGAGAATTACATGAAGGAATGTGTGGGAATCACTCAGGAGGAAGAAGCTTAGCACATCAAGCATTAACTCAAGGTTACTTCTGGCTGTACATGGCTTGAGACGCGGAGCAGTATGTAAGAAAGTGCGACAAGTGCTAGAAATATGCCCCGATTGTTAGACAACCTGCCGAAGAACTCAATCCAATCGTAGGACCCTGGCCATTCACAAAATAGGGTATGAATATCGTAGGTTCGTTGCCGAGGGCGCCCGGAAGTAACAAGTTCGTCCTTCTCGCCACAGACTACTTCATTAAGTGGGTAGAAGCAGAAGTGTATGTTTCTGTCACATGAGATGACGTTGTAAGATTCGTATGGCGGAACATTATATGCCGGTTTGGCATACCAAGGGCGATTGTGACGGATAATGGAACGCAGTTTGACAATCGAAGGTTTAGAAGCTATTGCACCGAGAAAATGATCACATTACAATTCTCTTCCAAGAGTTATCCCCAAAGCAATGGCCAAGCAGAGAAGACGAATCGAACGATTTTTTATTTTTTAAAGAAAAAGTTGGAACAGCGTAAAGGAAAGTGGCATGAGGAACTCCCTAATGTACTAAGGGCTTATCGCACCACAAAACGGAAGCCAACGGGTGAAAGCCCATTCTCTCTCGCTTATGGTACTGAAGCGGTTATCCCTACAGAGGTCGGTCTACCTACGGTCAGAACATTAGTTGTGGAAAATGGTGAGAACAATCAGCAGCTAGCCCATAACCTCGACTTAGTCGATGAACAAAGAGAGATCGCCGCACTACGACTTGCGAACTACCAGAACCAAGTTGCCGCTTATTTCAACAAACGGGTTAAGTTGAAAAGATTCAGGGTAGGAAAATAGGTATTGAGAAAGGTCATGGAAAACACAAAAGATTTGAATGCAGGGAAGCTTGGACGCATATGGGAATGACCATATGAGGTGACCAAAGCCTTCAGGAAGGAAGCTTATAAACTCAGGCACATTGAAACAGGTCAGTATGTGCCGCGCCTATGGAACACAATTCATTTGAGAAAGTACCACATTTAACTTTTCGTGTTTATGTTTTCCATATTTAAATTTCTGTTTCCAGTAATGTTGAAGGGTAAATCCCTTTATGTTTTCCTTGCATATCGAAGGGTGTATCCCTAGATGTCTGTTGACATCTCCTTATTGTTTGATAAATAAATTTGCATTTCATTCGAACCTTAAAATAAAGTATAAAGCTGAATAGTATAAACTAAGGGAGGAGGATCGAATCAAGATCGAAAACATAAGATCGAGTGGGAAAAGAAAACCCAAGATCGAATGGGCAGAGACCCAACCAAGATCGAAAATGAAAGATCGAGTGGGAAAAGAAACCCAAGATCGAATGGGCAGAAACCCAACCAAGATCGGAAATGAAAGATCGAGTGGGAAAAGAAACCCAAGATCGGATGGGTAGAGACCCAATCAAGATCGAAAATCAAAGATCGAGTGGGAAAAGAAAACCCAAGACCAGATGGGCAAAGACCCAATCAAGATCGAGAATCTAAGATTGAGTGGGAAAAAAACCCAAGATCGAATGGGCAAAGACCCAATCAAGATCTAAAATCTAAGATCGAGCAGGAAAGGAAAGCCAATGGGCAATGACCCATCCAAGATTGAATAGGTAAAAATTGATTCAAAGTCGAATGGTTTCTGAGATCGATAACGAAAGGGTGAATTTAATTTGATTTGCCTCCTGTCACGTGTTTGCAGAGGAAAATGAGGCATGACATGTACGAAGGTAAAAAGCTTAGGCAGTGGGACGTTGTTTTCCTGCCGTAAAATAGAATATGTTTTATTTAAAAGAGGAAAACCTCTTGGATGTTCGATACATAGTACGATAAAAGACAAGAATAAGAAGTAAACCTACTAGCAAAAAGGAAAAACAAGGACAACATCACTACTAGATATCCCAGATATCCCAGTAGTGGTTAGACCTAAAAGCCCAACTTATTACAAGAAAAATGACACCTAGTATAATGGGGTAGAGAGACTATCCTAGTTTACGGAAGGAAATGCCGCTTTCACCTTGGAGCGGAAATATAGGACGCCTTGCTTAAAACCATCATGTATGCCATCTGAGTGAGCAGCAGACACAGTACGATCGGCATCCATTAATTCCCCCCTAAGACGATCCACCCGGTGTTCAGCGCGTTGTAAGTATCCCTTCAGAGTTTCACGCTTGTTCAATAGTAGGGAGTAGTCGAAGCACTGGGGACAACGTGGGTGGTGACGGGAAGGTGTGCGAGAATGACCCGCTTCATCTCCTGCGTAAGGGTTGGGAGAACGAGAGATAGAGTCTGGAGCCCGAGTTAGGTAACTCCTTCCCGGAGAGACCATTATGTCAGTAACCGGATTAAGAGCCCGAGTGGTATGATTTAGCCTCGGAGAGATCATTTCGCCGACAATGGAGTCTAGAGCTTGTTCCCTACTCGACCTTGTTCGAGATCGGTACGTAGATTCACAAAAAGTGTTAGGGACTCCAGAAGAATGAGAAGTCTTCATTGGCGAACGAGAAGAGGAATCAGAGCGTAGCTCGATTACATTCCTAGAACCCCTGGAGC